TGCGACTTGAAGATTCGAATTCTGCAAGTCGCAGATCATTTTAATTACAATCCGTTTTGTTCTGATCGGTTGAATTTTAATCTCTAATTCACTATCCTCAAAATCTCCAATTATTGCATCTTATCTTTCATGATATGACGTCATATTACAAGATTCTTTAGCATTTATTAGCTTCATCAATCATCAATTTCTTGTTTACTAGCAACAACGCTGCACATTTCATTGATATTATTAATCTAATAAAATATGAGGTCAATTTAGATGCATCTTTAAAAATTCATTCAAAGTTTAATACCTATAAAAAGATTGTGTGCTTTATGGCTTTTACAGGAGATTGTAAATAGCACTCAACATCATACCCACAAATCAGTTAAAATTAAATATATTCAGCGAGTAATCTCATCTATAATAGATTGAGGGATCTAATTGTGGATAATTTTCATTATTTCATTCAATTAAAATATAAAAATAGTACTAAAATTGAAAAAAATCATCCATGAATTACTTTTTTAAATTATTATAATTGCATAACTATATTAAATGTGTTATTCATTGTTTCGTACACGGAAAGAACGATTTTATTGAAAGGTCTAAAAATTTTGCTAAATACAGATCTGAAAATAATTTTTTGTTGAATCATGAAAATAATTTGTTGGAATGTTTACACTGATAAGCATTGCTATAAAACGTTTTAATATTCTAGCAATCATTTTGACTTTCGCACAAAATTATTTTGATTATTGAACAAAAATTATTTTCAGATCTAAATTCAGCAAAATGTTCTTTCCGTGTATCTTTTTCGATAAAACTATTTATAATATAAATTTTTATTCTTAGAGTGATTCAGAATTAGTGGTCCTTACACAGTTATATCGAATTAACAGCGCATTTAAATCACAGTTTGCTAAAATTCTGGCCTCAAAAGACTTTACTTTATAATCGATTATTTAAAAGATTGCAATATTCCGAAAGGACATTAGAATTAATCAACTGCGTGATCTCCGTCTCGTTATGCACAGTTTCGTCCTCGATTATTTCTATCGCTAATTCTAAGTACGTATAGGTATACATATATTATTCCCTAGCCCACGTAAGGAATCGAGAACCGCGTCACAATGAGGGAACAGCTGTGAGGAAACAGCTGAGTGTTGTTCATAACATTTCGCAGCCGCGAGAGTTAACGGATTTGACATTACAATGGAGCAACGATAATTCGCTTTTACGTGAGTTTTGCGTAGAATAGCGAAACTTCGCGGCGGCGTGGCATCGGAGAAATAATCTATTGCTCGCGCGCCGAGAGACTGCAAATAGAAGCTGGAGCAGACGTTATGCTGCAGTTGTCAAATCTACGATGTGACTATCGTAGCTTTACATCGCGCGTGTTGTTATAGTTTAGCGGAAATAGAAACGATTGACGTCGCTAATCCAATCATCCCCGTAATTATGTACTTCGCAGTACTGCGTAATAATATAATTATTAATTTTATTAAATGCAATTATTTTTTAAATATGACACTTGTTTATACGTTTTAAACGTAACTATATTTAACGTACTTATATTTAGCATGTCGAAAAATTTAAACTAATGAAATGACATAGAAGGTTAAAACGTTCTGATTTAAGGATGAAGTAAAATCTTTTGTAAAATTATTTATTAATTATTTATTTATAAATAATTTTACAAAAAATTTTATTTTATCCTTAAATCAGAACGTTTAAACTTTCTACGTCATTTCATTGGTTTAAATTTTTCGACATGCTAAATATAAGCACGTTAAATATAGTTACGTTTAAAACGTACATATAAACAAGTGTCGTGAACGTCAAGTGAAAGTTCACAAGTATCTACGTTAGGGTTAATAATGTTTAAATAACAACTGCTATCGACAATCAAACAGATTTCTCATTATACATGAGTAAGTCAAACAAGATCGAATCGGACAGAAATAATTGATTTATTAACATGGCACGCTCGGTCTTTCGATTGTTATTTCCGACGTTACTTTCTCTTCCACTTTAAACGTGCGTGAATCGATCGAAAAGTTTTCCGCACGCGCAACAAATCAAAGCCGCGCTTGATATTTCGCAGCGATCCAACGCGCGCGGACGTGTGATTATGATAGGGAAAAAAGAGCTGACGTGTACCGCCGAGCTCGCGAGAAATTACATTTTTTTTTTCAACGCTCGTAAGTTCTCCGCGCGCGAATCCGCGCGTTTTGATGTCCCGCGCGACTCCACGGGAAGTGGAAATGATCGGTCGAACACACGTCGGAAACAATTTGATCGCAATACGTGAAATATCAAAGCGTTGTTTAAATTATAGTTTTTTGCGAGCGCGGAGCAAAGCTGGGAAATAGAGCCGTTCGTAAACATGCACAACAAACATACTTTTTTGACATTTTCGATCTATTTGCGCTTGCTGCTCGGATCGACTATTGATTGACTGCAGTTGATTCGTTTGATGACGCGTCACTTTTACGACGTCGTAGAAAATTCACATCACCCTTTGTAACTTGTGGATGACTAGATCCCTTGGTTAGGATATCATCCACTTGTTGATACAAATTCTTCTTTTGATAATCAACAAGTATAGAGAAATATAAATCGATTATCTTGTAATAGCATTAACAATTATAATGGAAATATTAGGGAAAAGTGTAATGAATTTCTTAAAAAAATTTATATATATAAATAAATTTCATGCTCTACATTGCAAAAAAAGTTTCATCTATAATTGTGTGTGCGTTGGGTTATTTAAAATTCGCTTTATTAAAAAAATTCATTAGATTGAACTTGTTTTCAGTCTCGTTTCTTGGTAATATAATTTGAATTGAACTTATTCAAACTGGCTGTCATATTTAAAGCGACAAGTGAATAAATAAATTCTTTAATTAGCACTTGTGCGAGATACCCTAATACTCGAATGTTTGTAGAAATTTTAATTCTCATTTTCCGAAAAACAAAAGAAATATTAAATAGGTAAAAAAAGGCAGTTAAGAGTCCCACGCAGTTCTCGGTGCGTATATATTCTTGGTTTATTCCAATATCCTTTACATTTACTCCTTTGCGAACGTTTTGGCTTCTATCAAGCCATCTTCAGCGCAAATTAATCTTGATAGAAGCCGAAACGTTTGCAAAGGAGTAAATGTAAAAGATATTGGAATAAACCAAGAATATATGCGCACCAAGAACTGCGTGAGACTCTTAACAGCCTTTTTTCACCTATTTAATATTTGTCAATTAAAGAGTCATTACCTTTTAATTATTAAAAGAAATATTATTTAACATGTAACAAATATGGTATTGTGTCGAGAAAATTTTTCTGACACCTTTGACGTAATTGTAATATATTAATTAACAATTATGAAACAAATATAAAATCACTTTTTAACTTTCGAGTTTATTTTCTCCGTTTTTACAGAATATGGGTTAGGACCCTGTCGCGGTAAGCTTTTTTATTTATTAAAACAGAAATGAATAGAAACAATTACAAATATAATTAAAATGCAAATAAAACAGTCACATCGGAAATAATAATAATTAAACTAATCAAAATGTTGCGTAAAAAATAAAACTTTCTTTGCAGATCATCGTTCTTCATCTCTATTAAAAATGCATTTCACAAACATATGGGATCAACTCTCCATGCGGCAAACGAAAACTAGTTTTACGGGTTAAGTTACAAAAACATTAATTAATCGAAAACAAACGCACCACGCATCTTAAAGTTTTTAAAACTTTAAGTCGGCAAGTTGATTAACTCAAGCAAACCATGAACAGGTATAAAAGTCTTTTTTTCCTTTTTTTTTATTAAAATCAAAAAGTTTAATACGTTACTTTACATAGTAATTTTGACATTTTTATAAGATTATTCAAGGTTTCTGTTCACTCACTACCACTGTCTCAAATATCAAAATAAATAATAAAAAATTTCTTGCAAAATATATTAAAATGGAAATATGTTTCAATAAACTAATACTCACAATCGATAGTCTTGTAAAATATATAAAGAGATTTTCTTTTATTTTGTTAATTAATAAATATATCTGGAAATGAGTTATGCATAATCGCATAACAAATATGTTCATGACAATTTTCTCTTTCAAATTAATAATATATGGAAATAAATATAATCTAATTCCTCCCTGAAATAAAAAATTTTTTATAAATCTACTTCAATTTCAAATTGAAATGCATTCTATTTTACTTAAATATATTTTGCAAAAATATTGTGAAAAAGATTGTGACTGGAAGCGGGCAAGTACACAATAAAAATTTATTTCTACTTAAATATATTTTACAAAAATATATTCAAGTAGAAATAAATACTCAAGTTGTGACTGAAAGCAGGAAAGTACACAACAAAAAAAATTAAAAAAAATTTAAAAACATAAAAATTTGTTTTTACTTAAACATATTTTTGCAAAATATATTCAAGTGGTGAGTGGAGCTTTAAAATTTTACTATTAATTTTTATTTACTGAAGTTCAATATGTGAAGGTTTTTATAAAAAAAGATATTGGTATCAATAAATTTTTAATTATTTGAAATTATTTTCAATTATTACAGTTATAGATTTCTAAAATATAGAAATTTATCAAAAAGTTTTATTTTACTAATATCCTTCGCAAATACTGAAGTGTCAGAAAAAATATATTATTTCTTTACCCATTAAAATATCAAACTAATTATCCGACGGATAACTTTTTTTCGACAAATACATGATGATGTAAAAATGTATTCATCAGGTTTCACGTAATTCTTAAATTAAATTCAAATTCGTGTCGAAATAATTTAACATCATAACGCCTCTCTCGTGCCGTTTCTTACAAAATACTAAAAGTATTTTGTAATAAATATTACAAAATACTAAGAGTATTTTGTAATACTGAATTTGAAAAATTGTCATTGTGTTTTTTGAAGAATTCTGATTGTTTATAGAAGCTGTAGAATTAAATGTACGAATTACACACGAATGCAAACGAAATATTATTACTCACGTCTAGCGTGCGCCTTGTCGCTGACGGAAACTAAGACGACGAGTAGGACGACAATCGAGAGATAGAGCGAGAAAAGGGGACCGGAAGTCGCGCTGGTCCTCATCCTGTCGCGATCGTCAACGGCGCGCTTCTATGCCACGAGGGTTGGTTATAGGCTCAAAGAAACGAGGCTGCTTGATGAGGTTGCTACCGTTGGTTGCGGCCGCCGAGAACAGAGACGATCACTATAACGGATGACGAGAGACGATGCTACCCCGTTGAGCAGGTGGTTGTGAATGAACGATGGTGGCGGCGCGCGTTCCCTCTTTTACAGGAGCGGAAGCCCCGGAGTGGCGCAGTCGGATATCGCACCGTGGTGCATGCCGGGCGACGGCGAACGGCGGGGCATATCCGTGGGTGGCGGCGATGTGATATCTTCCAGGTGGTGGTGGCGGTGATCACGGCGACGGTTTGTTATCACTGTGAACTTTGATGATAATCCCGAACGCGATCGACGAGTGTCTTATAGGCCTGGAAGAAGCGCGGCGCCGAGTGAATCGCATGTGCCGCTAAAAGGAGGCGCCTCGAGGTCTCGTTTCGGGTAGGATAGTTAGAGCCGTATTACAACAGTTCTCGATAATTACGATATTAATGTTAATAATATGGCTTTTGTGAAATTCAGCTGTTATATAGAATATTAATGCATGTATTACATGATGAATACTGATATAGAAAAGTGTTGGATGTTTGTAACCATAGTTGCATGGTAAAATAATTAGAAATTAGAAATTTTATTTTCATAGTTACTGCTATAATATTATTAATAATAATTATATTTATAATTTTATTAAACAAATATATAAATGGTACCGAAAATAATTACATTATCATTAAATTCATAATGATATATTAGAAATTTCATTTTTATAATTACTGCTATAATGTTAGTAATAATAATTATATCTATAATTTTATTAAATAGATAGAACGGAAAATAATTAGTTATAATTAAATTATGGCAATTATCTATTTTTTCCTTCAGTAAGACTTCACAATTGCAGAAAAAATACAAATTATGTTCCTATTTTTTGAAAAATATATTGTACGAATTATTTATTAATCGACACTGACGTTCATTTATCGATCACGGGGCGAATATGAATTTCTCAATCAAAATATTAAAATCTATTACAGAGTATATGTATATTTTTGTTATGAGAATGTAAAAAATAATTCCATATGTGGCAAATGCAAAATAATTAGATTTTATGTGTGAAAATCGTTTAATTAGCTTATTTATAAAACATTTCCATTTTATTTTCACAAAATATTATGTACATATTTAATATGTACTTATATTATGCAACATTATATAATATATAATATAATATTTTACTAAAAATGATAATTTTTTATTAAATTTAAGGTCTCATCAATTGAGAAAGACATTTTTTTGCCTTCGCACATTGCACTTTGTGCAAGAAGATTACAGGAAAGTCATGTAAGGAAATCGTAGAAACTTAAATGTAAATTCTCTTGATAGCTGTTAAAGTATACATTTTCTTCTTGTTAAATGAAAAATCTGGATTTTCATTTAGGGACATTCGAGCATTTATAAAATATTATATTATATTAAATATATTTTATATAATATATTTATTCGAGCATTTATAAAATATTATATTGTATTAAATATATTTTATATAACATATTTATATATGATATAAATATGTATAATTTTATAAATGCTCGAATGTCCCTACTGAGAAAAAAAATTTGTTGAAAAACGCAAAATTTGTTTCATTTTACCAAAATATTTAATCCGATACGTTCGACTAAATGTTACTACAATAACACAAAATAATTTGTTACTATTATAAACAAAATACTATTTTTTGACTAAACTATTTTGTTTCAACAAAAATTTATCGTATTCAACTCAATCGTTCTATTAAAAATACACACTATTTATTATCCCCATCAGTATCGTTTAGTCAGTTTGATACTTGGAATTTAAACAAATATATTACTTGGATAACTAAATAGCATGCAAACACAAATAAACTATACTACTAGTATTTCGAACAAACTAATTTAATTGAGTTGGTTGAGTTAGTTAATTCTTAATTAAAAAATGTTGATAGTTGAAATGAATGAACTATACCTTTCTTTGTGCAACTAAAAAATTGTTGAATTAACTATTGGATCAAACAACTATACAAATTTAGTTCGTACAATCAATTTTTTTTCTCAATGCCCAAATGAAAGTCCAGATTTTTCTTTTAAAAAAAAGAAAATATATACTTTAATAGCTCTCAAGAGAATTTACATTTAAGTAGCTGCGTTCTACGATTTCCTTACATGACTTTCCTGTAATCTTCTTACACAAAGCGTAAAGGCAAAGAAGTATCCGTCTCAATTGATGAGACGTTAAATTTAATCGAAAATTATCATTTTTTATATATTATATAAATGTCAAAATGTCTTTTACAAAATTACCTTGCTGTATCCAACTGACATTGCGACCTCTTATCATCATACTTTCAATTTTTGTGATATTGTAATGATTTCGGAGCAATCTTTGACTTTGATATCATTCTGTTCGAAACGGACGTTTCTTATCGCGCGATAAAAATTCTTTAAGAAATTCATTTTTTCTTTTTGCTCCTAAAAAGTCGATCGAACTCGCTGGAAGAGATTATTGGTAACAACCGTAATTAATGCTGAGGTACGCCGGGAAATGTATTGCGAGCGTGGTTGAGAGAGGGAGGGAGAATCGCGTCTTGCACGTCGCGTGTGGGCTGTGGAGGCTCTTTACGCCTAATTGAATTGATTGCTTTCGAGAATGGGACAATGGCTGTTGGAAAATTGTAATCCAGCCGTGCTTTTCAACTGGATTTTAATATCGCTTGATATTTAATTATTCGAGGCGTATATGCACAACACTGTTTCGCACAACGGCGAAGAATCTTGACAAATGTGTAATTAATGGCGTTCGATAATGCCATGCCAATCGCGCGGTTATCCTTGTCATCTCGTGCGCAATCGAACGCGCAAATTTTAATTGAAGAACCAAATTCGCGTGCACGTGAATAATGCCGGCGTTAATTAACTTCCGTGTCCTAATTTTTCGTTTTCGATATCGTATCTCGCGATCGTGTTTATTTTTTTTTTCTTTCATTCCGCACTCGTAACTCTCGTGCAACGTCTAATTCACCGTGTACTAAACACTTTAATTTACCCCGCCAAGTTTATTACAAGCTATTTTCTCCCTTACTCTCATTCTTATTTGTCGAAATATGATATATATAAGTGCTTCAAGGTTGTATAATTTTGTCGCGTTTCTTTTCGGATTTCGCGGAACATGCTTTGAATTAAACTCAAAGTAATTATTGTAATCATTGTTTCTTTTTGGTGACGCCGTGACGTTACGTTAATAGTAACTAATTAATGGCCAACAACGACTTCGTTATAAATATCAGACGTCAAATATCAGTAGCAAAAATCTAAAAAAAATAATGTAGAAACTATAAAACATTCATAGTAAATATCACAGGTTACACCACTTATGTAACGTTTATAACAATATTCACCCTTCGCAAATTAAGCTTATTTATAACTTAGCCCATTCCTACACACAAAACAGGTTTTAAAAATTTTTTATAGCTATATTTAAAAAAAATTTTCTACATTTCTTACATAAATGTTACTTACAGATTGAGCAGACTTAATGAGAATGAGTGATATTTTAATATATCACGATATTCTATAGCCGTATCAGGGATTGAAAGTAACTCGTTACTTGTAACGCCGTTAACGTTACTTTTTTTGATAACGGATTGGCAACAGCATTATTCTATTTTTTTGGTAACTGTAACGGTAATGAATTATACAGTTACTTTTTATATTTATGACAAAATTTTTGTTTGTATATTCGATCTTTAGTCTTTAGCTAGTATTTACATAGTTCTCTTTTATTTTAAGTCTGTTTTAAATAATGTTTTAAAATATTAATATGACTCTGTGATTGGTTTATGATATCTTAAGAATGCCATAAGTCAGTATCACAAATTAAATTGACAAGAAATTTAATAAATATTTACGTTATAAACATCTTGAAATATTTTAAAAAATTTATTGTGAAAAATATCAGCTGAACTGCGCGTTTCAAGATCGAAAATTTAATTGGCGCGTAGTTTGAAGTATAATTGTAGATACGTGTATATAAATTTATTTTAAAATATTAAGCACAAAGCTGAAAGCTCTAATGCATATTGAAAAGACTTTCCTTTTCCTAGTTGTATTTTTATATATCGGTCTAGTGTTATTGTTGTACTGCTTTTATTAATATTTTTAAAAACTGCATCTTAAATTATTTAGACTAATCTTGTTTCAGCATTAAAAAAGTAACGGAAAAGTAACGAATTGTTACTTTTTAAGTAACGGTAATAATAATGAGTTATTTTTAAAAATCAGTAATAACGGTAACTAACAAGGGAAAGATCAGGTCAGTGTATCACGGATCCTGATCCCAATTTTTTTGGTAAAACTAGAGGCAAAATAAAGATATATGTGTCCAAGCATTTGATTGAATGGGCCTTAGTTTTCGAGAAAAAATTTTTGAAAAATAAATTTTTAAATAATAATATTCGATATTTAATAATAAAAAGCGATATATTTCTTTCATTCAACATCGGTTATAATAATGCTTGGGAAAAAATACAAATTTTTAAAGTAAAAATAAGTCGTACATTACAATATCAGTAATAAAAAATAAAAAAAAATAAAAACCAGCATTAAAAAAATTTAATTTTTCATTTTTTATTACTGATATTGTAATGTAGGTATAGAACAAAACAATAACAATATTAATAATATTATAAAATAATAATAATATTGTATAGCTAATAAATAATAATAATAATAATTATTATTATTATTAATATTATTAATAATATGAATAATAATATTGTATAGCTTTTTTACATAAAAATTTATATTTTTTTTCCCAAGCATTATTATAACCGATGTTGAATGAAAGAAACATATCGCTTTTTATTATTAAATATTGAATATTATTATTTAAAAATGTATTTTTCGAAAATTTTTACTCGAAAACTAAGACCCATTCAATTAAACGCTTAGACACTATATTTTTATTTTGTCTCTAGTTTCACCAACAAAATTGAGATCAGAATCCGTGATGCAATGACCTGGCGTTTCCCTTATAAGTTACTTTTTTAACTCGGTAACGATATAACTAGTTATTTTTAAAATGTAACTTTCCACATTCCCT